TCATGTAAATGTAGGGTGGTAGGCACGATGGCCTACCTAGAAGGCCAACTGCAGAAAGCAGAGACAGGTTAGATTTCCAGAGCAAGCTGATTGGTAAGAATAACTATATCTGTGAGCTCTGGGCTTGATTGAGACACCCTGCCTGTCAATCAGTGGAAGAGCTAATGATGAGTCCCACTGTCCATCTCAGTCTTCCACATGCACCAGAATACCCACTGAAACAAAAGCATGCCTGCTCACACATTCACAGCACACATACTTGTGAAAAGTGGAAAAAAAAAGAAAGAAAAAGAAAAGAAATACCTGGCTATTAGGGCCCTTGGATTAATGCAAAGTAATAAATAGATAAATAGATAAATAACAGAACGAGCTGAAACCCTAGGGAAAGAAGCCATGAACCAAACCAACTGTGCTAACTATTCCCTTCCATGGAGTTGTCATGTTCAACTTAACGAATGTAGCTTTGAAAACCAAGTTTGATTTTTTCAAAATTAATTCACAAGAACAACTAACTTATTAAGAAGAAAATACATATTTGCCAAAGATTATAAATTTAAATATTGACAGTGCTTTGATACCATGCGTTTCCTCTGGTTTTATATCAGCTTGAGAAATGCACAGAAATAGGAATTTTGAGTCCTTGCATTAGTCATAATCCCTTTTCCATGCAGGCTGCTACTTCTGTTACTGTGATCTTCCACTTACCATTGAAGTTAGCAGCTTATATCTTTTTTTCTGAAAATCTGCTCATGAGACAGAGGTTATGCTTCAAGAATCTTAGATGATATAGTTAGGACACACAAGGTCTCTTGTGTTGACAGGGAGCGAAGGACAGCCTGAGAAATGACGGAGAGGGCAAACTAGCCAATGCTGCACTTTCTAGAAATCCTTCCTAGGGAGAGACCTTGGGAAAATCAGACGACTTAAATGTCTGATTTCAGACTGTTTTCCAAGCAGTGAGGTTTAGCTTAGTGTCAAACTCGGAATGTAGCAGGCCAAAGTGGAGATGCCTTCTAGGAAGTGAAATTATTCAATCCAGTAAGAAGGATGTTTTGCTGAAGTTCCTAATTGTATCAATTCATGTTGAGCCGGTTTTTCAAACTGGGAGGTCCAGGGGCTCCCTCTGTCCTCTTCTTTAAAATACCAGTTTCTCTTGGATCCTTTTAATGAGTCAGGATCACTGTGCCAGGTCATATTAATCAGCCCATCACTTGTTTGGAACTCTTTGGTCTTACCCACAGAGTAAGAAAGCCCCTTCTGCTGATGCTCATCCAGTGCTCACTGAGGACCAGGAACCCGGCTTGACACTTGGATAAACTTAGCTTCACAGAATTAGTCTTAAGAATCAGAGACTGTTCTAAACATCACTGGAGTGTCAGGGACTCTGGGATACAGAAAAGGAAGGTTCACCTTCAGCGGATGGCCAAAGCTTTATCAGAGAGGGGAGATAGGTACTTTGTGTGTAATCGTTTCCAACTGTGAAGAGAGGGAGAGAGTAATACCAACCATGTCTAGGGTTTCAAGACCCAGGAAAGAACGCACAAGTTTCTGATAACAAATCAAAAAACTAAAACCATAGTGTAATTTCTCAAGAAAGCCACAGGTACTGGCAGACCTACCCCTCTTTCTTGTTCTCCTTATAGCCTCATACCAAATGGCCTCACTTGGAGGGCAAGGGCCCAGACAGAAGCCACCGGACTAGGCAGCGTAGAATCAGCATGCCTGAAGGAAGATATTGTTATGAAAAGCAACATCCCTGCACATATTTTATTTTAAAAGTCTAATGATTAAAAATATACAAATATATATATATATCTCCCTGAACCTGTATTTATTTCTGTAGATACAACTCAGCCTACAGTTTGTCTTTATGAATAAATAAATTGTCACAAAATGATTTCAGAGCTATTTCAGGGGAATGCCACACAATAGAACACTCTGGAGGGCTTAAAAATGCTGTATTTGTCTTGCCTAGTCCAGTGGCTACCAGTATTTGAAGTATGGCTACTTTGGACCAGGAAGGGAATGTCATATTTTACCTATTGTAAGTTTTAATAGTCAAACCTTTGGACAGTGAAATAATAGAAACTGGGTGACTTGGTTCCAACACACACAGTAAAATTGTAGGTACTAACATTCTCATGTTGATGCCCTCCTTTTTCTCTGGGCAGCAGGGTGAAAGGGGGAATAAAAAGGAAGGGGTTGTTGAGTTCAATGAGAAAATAATTTTCTATGATTTTCTTTCCTAAGTTCAAGGTGTGTTTTGTTGACCAAACTTGAATGGGCTGAAGACTTATCAAGTCTGTCTGTCCCTCTCCCTGCCTCTACCTGCCAGCAACCTACTGATTCTGGGTTAGACTACAGAGGCTCTTTGCCCACCTACCATGGGTCTATTTTTCAAGTTATTTCAGAATTAAATTCCAAGCCCCTCTTTTTCATCTCACAGGTTACTGTGGGTGAATTTTAGACAAGAATTTATTTTAAGCTTTCCCAATCACTTCCAGATTGGAATGGGGAAATTATTTTGCGCTTGGGAAGTTGTACCATGAGTTTTTAAGGGACATGTTTGCTAGTTAGTTTCTAGAATAAATGGCACAGGCATCCTTGTCCAGTTATGGCTGTGCTTACTGTCCTATCACACAAATGGCTCTGTGGTCTTTCCTTACCAAGAAAAGGGAATATATATATATATATATTTTTTTTTTTTCTTTCTTTCTTAACAGGTTTTGGGGCGGGTTTTTTTTTTTTTTTGTCGTTTTATTTAATGTCAACAGTTAGATGACAGCGTTTTAAATAGAGACCAGATATTTTAAGTCGTGCTGTTTGTAGGATTGGTGTCTTACAGGTGCTTGGTAGTCTGCCATTACTTTCTCTTCTCTGAAGACAGACGTAACCACTTTCCATTTCCTGGCACTGGAAACAGACACTGTTTGGGATTTCCTTTTATAGCTTGTTCAGCTAACGACTCCAGTGACCACTCAATTGTGGTCGTGTAGTAAATCAACATTTCTTTGAAAGACCCAGCTGTTATGTAATTTCCAGTGTCTCACAAAGCCATCTCCCTAACCAAAAAGCGCCCCTGTTGCTTTAATGATACCGTCACTGTATGTGGTAGTTTTTGAAAATAAATAGGCCGTTTTCTCCACTTCTCCCCTCACTTTCTCCTTTGAAATTAACTCGGAATTGATGAGGGACAAACACTGGCGTCAGTCCCTGTCACACCTGGTCAGCTGGTGATGAATATACAGAGAGCACTCTGCCAGCCGCTGCATCAATCTCTGGTGTCCCCGTGTGAGTGACTTGCTCTAGATGGAATTTGGACCGACTGAAGAGAACACACTGGGTCCTCAGTAGCTTCTGAGCTGTCGAGTGTGCATTTTAACAAGGTATTAAAATCACCCCTGTGAGCCATGTGTCCATAGTCTGTAGTTTATGGCCACCTCTCAGGGAAAAGACATGACTTGTTTTGCCAGGGTGCTCGCTTTTGGATGAAAATGAGGGACAGTGGGATGCTAACCATTCAAGGTAGTGAGCACTTTGTCATTCAGGGTTGAAAACTGACAGTTCTGTACCAGCCTGTGTCCTTTCAGCCAACTCAGAGAAAAGGCTGCCACAGTACATACCAAGTTTTGTAAAGCCGGTTACCTCTTCAGAGGCTAATGCCTCTCAAACCCAAGAACTATTAAATTGAGAGTCTTCCCAAGCAACTGGGGAGTTGAGCAAAATAAATCAGAACTCTTCCAGATTTTGCTCAGGAGGCTGGCCTCATTATAAGAGCAGATCTATTAGCCCTCTTGCCATTGTCTTTCATTTCTCAAGTGAGGTGATTCTAATTAAATTAATCTGCATGTCAATCTATTGGTGATCAATCAAAGAGCCTGAGGTTTCCCCTATGCTGCTGGGTGCTTGTGGCTGACAGGGGCTGATAATGGAGGAAGAAATAAGCTGGCGGGCAAAGTTAATTAGTCAACATAATAGGTGGATTAAACAGGAGCTGGCTGATTGCTGTTTCTCATGTCAAAGCCTGAGTTGCGAGCCAAAGCTGCGATTACAGACAATTATTATATTTGGTTGTAAGAGGTCACATGAATAAACATATCTCTGCGGGGTTCAGTTTTAATCCACCTCCCCTTTTTAATATAAGGAGATATGTAGGTCAATTCTGTTCATTGTTTTAGTCAAAGTTCTCTGAGGCACTTTTCCTCGACCCTGTGGCAAGCTGGGCTGAGTCAGCCTTCTATGTGGCCTGGGCATCTTGAGTTGGCATTGGGTCAGTTCTATGTTTCTCCTTTTCTTTCTTCTTTGAAACAGATCTAAGACCCCTAATTAGAAAGGTTTTTGGGGTGGGTGGGATGGGGTTGGGGGTGACATGGTGATAATGGCTCTGAGGGAGGTTTGGATCTGATTCACTAAACTAACACAGGACAAAAGAGTAAAACGTGTAAGAAACTTCAATTAGACCCCCGGGAGAGGAAACACAGCAGATCTCGGCTTCCACTCCAACCCCTCTCGTTTTCATTTCCCTATCTTCTTAACCCTGACACAGTAGGGAGGAGATATTTTAAAGATTTAAAAGACTTTTATTTGTATGATCTACTGTGATATCTACCTCCGTGTCTAAACTGAAGGGTAATTTAGGTGAAACACAGCCACCCTTGTGTAAAATATATATATATATATATATATATATATATATATATATATATATATAACTGTGCTAATAAAGACCGCCTTGTAAAAATTATGGTTAATAGGGTACCTTTTGCTGTATAACTATAAACTGTGCAATTTTACTTAAAGCGGCATCAAAAGCGTTCCATGCCGAAGACCCACTCATCAATAGTGCCTCTTGTTAGACGTGTACAACATAAGCACCAGTTATTATGTGAAATAGCTGTGCAATTTTCTTCAGCTCCCAGCTGTTATTTATTTAACTGGAGCTTATTTCCCACCATGCTTTTATATGAAAATGTTCATTCATTTTCCTTTCCTGTCTCCAGGTCGTGGTGTCTACCACCGTCAACGTGGATGGCCATGTCCTGGCAGTCTCTGATAATATGTTTGTCCACAATAACTCCAAGCATGGGCGGAGGGCTAGGAGGCTTGACCCCTCGGAAGGTACGCCCTCTTATCTGGAACATGGTAGGCGAATCATTTTCATTGGTTGGCATTGCTACTTGTAACTGTGACTTTGTGTGATTTCTTCCTTCCACTGTACCACATTTCCGATTGTTACAAATGTTGAGTGTCCTATTGAAAACTATTCATGCTCTTTGCACTTTGACCTTGCAAAATAAGAAGCTGAGAATTTAAAGGCAGGAGTGTATCTTTTAAGCACAGTATTTTGGTTGCATACCTAACTGTCTAGCTTGGAAGGCTGGTATCTCTTTCTTTCAGTTTGGGAGGAAAGAGAGAGAGAGAGTCTTGGATCATGGCTTTGTTTTGAGCTCAATTGACTACAAAATGAGTACATACATAGGTAAATAGGAAAAAAAAACATGTAAACCTCTCAATGCATATTTGTGATGACCTGTTGATTTTGTTTGAAGATCGGGTTTAGAGTCAAGGGTAGATATTCATTCTGGCTATGGTACTCAGGCCAAATGTCCTTCCTATGCCTTTAAATCCCTATGCCAACAATTCCCTCTTCATCATGATGTGACATAGGCTGTTTGTTGGGTAGATTTTGCTCATGGAGAAATCGCTACCACTGAGGATTGTGGGGAATCAGTGGTACCTGTAAGAAGACCAGAGGAAAGAGACAAAAATCAGTTTCAAGGAAAGGGCATGCTATTCGGAGGAAATCTGGGTTAGCTTAGGTGCACATCTAAATAGCTCATTTGAGAGTGAAATTCGTCTTTCCAAGATTCCACTGCACCCCAGCCATCATACTTTCTCTGCTCTCTTCAAATGAATCTCAACCTGTTTCTCATCCTCTACCATACCTCCTTAGCTAGGTCAGCAGGATTCTTTTGAGAACACTACCGTACAAATTATCATTGGGTAGCCTGACTTTTACTGTGGCCCACAAGCTATCCATGATATAATTCATAAGGTAGAAAACCCCTTCCCTGCCAGCATCCCAATTTAATAACACCCCTGTCATCATTTTTTGCCAGTTTTTTTTCCACCTGTGCTTGAGGAATGCACAAACAGTACATTTTATTAATTAACCGGATGTCATATCCTTAGAAGGTATTTTCACCCACACCCAGTTTTACAGTCTTTCAAAAGTAAACCATCATCATTCAAAAGCTGAGGCTTTATGTTTCATTAGTGCCGAGATGGATGGATATTACTTTTTGCAGGAGGCCATTTGAAACACCTGCTCATGATTACATCCCCAGCTCCATTTCTGTACTTAAAATTATTCCAATCCTTGCTTTACAGTGGTGTCTTCTTGCTTTAATGGTGTCTTCTTAATACCCTTGGAGTCAATGTATGGCTAAAGGTGCTTAGGTGAGAGGAAGAAGGAAAACTTGATAAATAATCAACGGGCACAGTTTGAGAGCCTGGGTCAAGGATCACGGTTGTTGCTTTGACTTTGGCTGGCTGATTGCAATGGGAGTTGCCTGATCTGGAGACATAATTTAACCGTCAGCTGGGCATCTGTAGTTCATAGTTTCTGAGGAAGCTCTAAGCACAGCTCCCATGCCTAGGTTCTATGCCTAGTGCCAATGCTAGCTCCCATTTCCGCCTTTAGGAAATGAGGAGAAGGCTTTCAGGACAGCTCAGTCAATAAAGCATTTACTCTAGAGAACCTGCCTTCAACCCTCAGAACCCACATCAAAAAGCCAAGTCTGGTAACATGCTTATGATCACATCACTGGGGAAGCAGAGGCAGGCAGATCTCAGGATTTCCCTTGTACAGTCAGCCTAGTCTGCTTGGTGAGTTTCAGGCCAAGAGAGAGAGGCCTTTTCTTAAAAGCAAGAGGGATGGCACCTGAGAAACAATGCCCAAGATTGTCTTCTGGCTTGCGAACACACAGACACACTCACTCACACACACACATACTCACACAAACTCACACACTCACAATCAAGTATACCAGTACAGGTAGGAACACGTATCTCTAAATCAACACCAGTGAAAATAAAATTTCAAAGAAAATGGAATAAGCTCATGATACCATATTACTTATCCCTGCAACAAAGATCAAAGCAACCAGTTAGGAAGGATGCTTCTAGGGGCTGGAGGTCAGTGACACTGTTTTGCAAGGTGATACAAAGAACAAAGTCTTGAAGTAGGCACCAGCAATCCCAAATTCTATTCTTCGTCTTACTCTGTAGTTCATACTCTGGCCTCTGTCCAACCCTGGACAAGTTAATTTAGCCATGTTCTTCTTGGTAAAATGAAGGTGGTTATCGGTTGGAGATTAAAACAACAGGTTTTTTGCTTTGAGTTGGGGAAGGAGATGTGGATCGGGAAAGTGAGCTGGGTGAAGGCCGTAAAGACTGGCCAGTGCTGCCCTAGAACTCAGTATCTCAAACAGGCAGCAGGGGGACATATGTTCCAGTTTGGTAAGAATGAAAACTCTTCTACTTTAAAACTCCTAGTAACTAATTATTATCATTTAATAACTGAAAATTAGTATTTAAACACAGAAGGGAGGAAAGGAAGAGGAAGGGATACTGCAGAAGCCTTTGAGGTCTTTGATCAGAACATATCCAGGCATCTTCTCTGTTCAAACCTTTTTTTCTGTGAGGATACCTATGAGTGCACCAGCCGGGATACCACCTTATCCTCAGATTGAAGGAAAATGCTTTCTTCTGCTTTGTTTACCAATCTACCAAGAACCTTTTTAAAAATGGTGACATTTCACTGCATGCCAATTTGTACGTTTCACCAGAGAAGTCACTGCACCCTGTGTCCTTCACATTCATCCAACCCTTACTTCACGCCTTCCAGTAGAATGGAAGGGTAGACATGTTCAGGTCCTGAGTAAATGACAGTGCAGTAATGTACAAATCTGACTTTCCACAAAGTGAATTAGGTAGCCGTACATAACCTCCCACTCATTCAGACGCTTCAAAGGCAGGCATAAATATCTACTCTGCCAAGGGTGACTATCGAACTCTCTTGTTTGTAATATGTGGGAGTAGATCTACATGCTAACTCATGTTGGTTTGGGGAATAATATTTCTGTCTCTCCATTGAAAAATACCATCTAAAATGCCTTGTTTAAGGATCAGACACCTCCCTTCTGTCTCTCCACTCCCTCCTAACTTCTCACAGCTTGTCTTCACCTCTTGGGACCTGTAGAGTCTTCACCAACACCCACTCTTGGCCTTTTTCCCACCTCATTTACAGGTAGCCTGGATTATTTTGATCAACACCGTACATCTCTATTTATATCCTGCTTGTCAGACCCTGGGAGGAAAGTCCCTTTTGTGGCTGATCTTTCTGCATTTCTAGAAAAGAAATCATGGTTTATGTCCACACACAGCCTTCCCAGCATGTCTCATGCACTCGGAGCTCCTAGGCTCAGATTAATGCCTCTGGATTTCAAATATGAGTGACTACAAAGGCAGATTTATTTCTTAGAATCGTGCAGGATCCAAAGAGACTGGAACTTGGAACACTGTAGCTCATGGTAATCACCCTCTCCCTCCCATTTTCCTCTCCATTCATAAATACTAAGATTTTCTATGGCTGGATATTTATGGGTACATTTATTGAGCTCTCTTCTTTAAGCAATAGCTTTATGGAAGATGTACAGTTGTTGGGGGAAGGCAGCCTCCCACATAACTGCTCTCAGCATCTAATTTCTATGAAAGTGTGGGTTCGGGACCAAGGCACCTGAAAGGTGGCCACCCGTGGTAATGAGAAACACTGGTATGTGTGTGTCCACCTCATCTTCCAGTCTAGTCACTCAGGCAGATTTGTGGGGACTGTGCAGAAGGGTGCTTGAAAGGGCTTCAGGAATGCTGTTATTATCGCTGTGGTTCATCTCAAGTTTCAGGTTCTATTTACTTGAATTTAAGGCCAATTGTGGCATCAGTTTCTCTATTTCCTTCCCCTGTGGCAAAATGCTGTGTCCTCACAATGCTAGAGTGCAGGGACCCTGTCAGCTTGCATGCGCTAACACTTTATTATCTAATGATCTAATATGCAACAAGGCAGAGTGCCTGTGCTCATCATCCTGACACAGAAAGCCGGGAGAAGTGACTAAATTACTTTATGTACCATTAGCGCTAGCAGCTATGGTGAACTCACCGGCAGCATTTATGCAAATGCCTGTGAATACACTCTAGTGGCTTTGTCAGGGAGCTGTCTGACGAGAAGTTTAAATGCTCATTTTTTAGAATATATATATATATATGTGTGTGTGTGTGAATATATATACATACATATATATGTATATGTATATGTATATGTATATATATATATATATATATATATATATATGACATGCATATGTTTTTCCCCTCTTTTTTGTCCTTTCATTTTGGAGACTTGTATGTCTTATGTACCATCTGACAACTGAGAAAAGCAGAGGAGAACAGAGAAATCCCATCTATAGGGTCTTTTCCAGGAGTGGGATATATTATAGTAGTATTCTTTATATATTGGGCTTTAACCAACCAATCAACAAACAACCCATTTCTTATGAGTTTGTGCAGCCTCTATATGTATTTTTGAGGAAAAACAGTAAAGATATTAATTGAGTTTTTCATAAAAGAACTTCTTAATAGTCGTGAGTTCTGACATAAGGTCTTACATTACTTTGTGGCTCAGGTAGAGATTAAAAACAACAAAAAAAAGCTACTTTAAAAAATTATGAATTTTTATTTTATTTATTGTGAAGGCCTCAGATCCCTTGGAACTGGAGTTACAGACAGTTGTAAGCTGCCATATGGGTGCTGGGAATTGAACCCTGGTCCTTCAGAAGAGCAGACAGTGCTCTTAACCACTGAGCCACGTCTCCAGCTCCCAAACCCTACTTTTTAAGAATGGAAAATGATGACTATTCAGCTTTTGTGAGCATCAGATATGAGTGAATTAAATTTCCCTTCAAAGTAGTTACAAAGATATGAAATGTCAACATGCCAGGATCCCAGAATAAAATAAAACAAAACAAAAGCAGGCTTTGGTTAAACTACAGACATTTTGGAGAATAAAAAATGGTGATAGGTCATTG